TCTAGGGGATAAGCATGCATTCTTTGTCATTGCTTTTATACTGTAACAGTAAATTATTGAGCTATGATATTTTATTAATTCGTGATTTTATCCATTGAATACAACTTTTGATATCTATTCTATGGATAATCGCATATATTAATGGATTTGCGTGTTGTTACGTTTCGTGCATTAGCTTAGCGATACCACTTGTTGTATTTATATAAGTATTTAAAGAAAAATCGACAAGTTAAAATATATTGTAATAGAGAAACAGGTGACATACAAATCTAGGCCACATTAAATGACTAAATTAAAACCTTTTATAAAAGACACCGGAGATGTAACATTGCACATCGCGCAGGTTATCTATTCCAACCCTAAGTAACCCACCAATTAAAAATCATTGTGTCCACGACGCCACCCGAATTGCTCCGACATTTCTATTCTACGCTCGTCTCCGCGTGAGTGAATCATCATGGACCGCTATTTTTTGAATTATTTGTTGGTGTTAGCAATTTAAACTGTTTTAGTTAGGTATTTAATGTCAAGTTGAAAAAGCCACGATTTATCGTCAAAAATTGTATATAGAAATAATATAAGTGCCAATGTTATGAAAAAGAAGAAATATATTCGTTTTCAGCGGTAAATATTTATTAACGTTTTGACATAAAGCCGCCATGATCCATTGTGCTGAATACTTCAGATCCGCATTAAGGGGTTTCAATAAATATTAAGCATCAAGTACATAATATTTCAGAAAACAGATTTCATAATGCATAAATTTACAAAAGGGCAAAATTTTAAACATTTAATCTAAATAAGAAGTAAATAGGCATTGCTACTAACGAAATTTTGTTTTTAGAAAGTAGTTTTACTAAAGGTTGTTTTTTGCCCTTTTTGGTAGATAAGTAATAAGAAGTAAAGGAGCATATTTGCTAGCAAAATTTTATTTTTATTAGGTATTTTTATAAGAATATTAGCTGAAATGCAGGATCACTTAAAATTTCAAGGTTCATCTTATTTGCGGTTAAATCGGAAGTGACATTTGAATCTTAATTCTTAAAACAAAGTAAAACGCACAATATGATCTAGTATGAGCAAAAAAATACTAAAGTTTCGGAAGTTAGTCATATTCTTAATAAAATGTTACATTATAAACCCCTAAACAACTCGAAAAAAAATCTTCGTTTACTTAAAAAAATCTAAATCTAATCAATTATTTTCGATTAATCCAACATTTTCAATAAATTATTTTCGTTTTTTAAGATACTTCATGGAATAATCGATTTTAAAGGAATTACAAAAATAAAGTAGATTTTTCTAAATATTCGATTTATTTAAAATAATCAATTTTTTTAGAATAATCGATTTATTGTTTAATCGGCTTTTTTAATTAATCGATTATTTACGATGAACCGAATATTTTCGATTAAACGATTATTTTCGATTTTTCAAAGGTATTCGAATGATTCGCTTTAGAAGAAGTACGAAAAAATAAGATTATATGAAAATAATCGATTGATCGAATATAATCTGTTATTTTATGTATTCGATATTTCGGTAATTTTTTAGAATTATCGATTTATCGGTCAATCAGCTTTTTATTAAGCGATTATTTTCAATGTATCGATTATTTTCGAGTTTTCAAAGATAATCAAATAATCAATTTTAAAAGAAATGCAAACAAAATAGATTATTTAAAATACTCGATAATTCGGTTTTTTTTTTTTTTGAAAAATCGATTTATCGGTTATTCGACTTTTTAATTAATCAATTATTTTCGATTTTTCAAAGATTGTAAAACAATCTGTTTCAAAGAAAATACGGAAAAAATGGATTATTTAAATATAATCGATTATTTAAATATAATCGATTATTTAAAATAAACGATAATTCGTTATTATTTTTTGTAAACACTCATTTATCGGTTAATTGGCTTTTTAATTAATCGATTATTTTTTATTTTTCAAAGATAATCAAGTAGTCCATTTTAAAGGAAATACGAAAAAAATAGATTGTTTAAAAATAATCGATTGATCGACGGAATGGGAAAAACACGTTTTTTTGTAATCTAGGGACCCGAAAACATGAAAATCTAAATTTTCACGATTACAATACTTTCCTTTTATCGAGGGAAGTAAAAATAAAATAAGTATACTCATTCTCTTGAATGCTTCTCTACTATATTTAATGTATCAGTGTCCTTCGTTTATTTTTGTATGTTGCCGTCTGGCTTTAAAGTCACACTATATCTCTTGCTCGTACTATACCTCTCGTCTCTTTTATCTAAGATTAAAACTTAAAATATTTTCTTAGCTCGATTTTCCATTCCGTGACGTCACACCCTTCCTCAGCAACGCACAGAAGAAGCCACCGTGATGTCTACGAACCGTAAATTGGGACGATGTTTTCTCTATGACAGTTCACACAAACTAAACAATTAAAATAACACAGACAAATATACTTTTGTTTCCACAGTTAACTTGGTTTTTCGTTTTACAAAAAACTTGAAAATTTTGGAATAGAAAATTTTGGAATACTACGTCTACATTTAGAAAATTTGGCACGCATAATGGTTTTTGAAGCTATATTGCTGGAAAACTATTAGTCTTATCGAAGTGAACCAAAAGTATCTTTTTGTCGTAAAAAAGTTGAAGTTTATAAGTATTATTTTACACCACTAGTCTTACTCTTAGTATATTAGTAATTTTAGACAAAGTCAAAATTTGAAGTAGCTATTGGTACTGGTTTTCATCAGAAAACCGTCTTCGGAGGGTTCTTTTCAAAGGGTCGTTGCTCCCTTAAAATACATTTTTGGATATATGTTTATAGTATCTTTCTGTCCTATTTTTCACCTATAGAATACGTTGTTGAAATATTTATCTCTCATTTTGGAACACACTGTAGATTTTGTTTTAAAAAAATTAAATATATTTATTATAGTTTATTTGAAAAAAAATTATAGCAAAATTTTTATGACCCAGGAGATAAACTCCGATATATCATCATAAATTAATGACGCAGAATTTCTAAAATGAAATTTTTAGAATTATATATGTTCCAAAATAAAACCTCTGGTTTTCTTCCTAAAATTTTTAAAAATACCATTTTATTTTAATTCTTGTCTTGTCTTGTCATTTTAATCAACAAAAATAAGGTAAGTATGTAATCTCTACAGGTAGAAAATATTTACAATTCAAGATCAATTTAAATAGCCCTCAACTTTCTTAGAAATGATTAAAATTTCTAATCTAATCTAATCTAAAGTTTTTTGCAGATTTTAAATTATTTTAGTTAAGATTTACATTTCTGTTTGTATAGTCCTGTTAATGTAACACGCAGAATAGTTAGTTCTCTAACGATAAGCGATTAAGTAAATTTGTGCAATAAAAATGGCACAAAAGTCTAATTATACTCTTGTAAAATAAGTGAAATTTAACCGTACATATAAAAACTTAAGTGTTTAATGTATGTGGTTATCTTCAAATAAGGGATATACTTTAACTTATTATAACTGTTTAACAAATCAAGTTAACAACAAAAAGTAAACGAAATCTAATTGCTTAAAGAATGGGATTTTATTGTCTATGGAAAACAAAAGCGTTGTCATGACAATTGTTGACAAGAGTGTCAAAACAAAATCATTCAATTTGAAGTTTATTTTCAAATTAAAACTCAAGTAAACGTAAAGTTGTAACAACTCAAACTGTAATAGCATGTATCTACAAACAAAAATTGGTTCAGTTCAGTGATATTATAGGTCTGTTCTGTTCCAACAACAATCAGAAACTCGTCATTGCCACCAGGATTATGCGCGGTATGAATTTGGCGGCTTCGGATCATTGTTGGAACAAACCTTATACGTTTTTTCGGGTTTTTTAAAACTCAATGTAAACCGTCCGAAAACCAGAGGAACAGTTGAATTTGAAATTATTCGTAGCATACAACTATTAAACTGTCCAATAGTCAACTAGTCTTCTGATAATTCTCAACCCGAACAGACCTTAAGAATGCAGCAGAATTACAATGCTGGATTATAAAGATTTTGCACGAAATGCTATGTACAATTTAAAAGAACGGTTGCCGATTTTACAAGATCAAAATGGAGGTCATATTAAACATTTACGGTAACTGGGTTTTGGGAATACAAAATCCCTTTATTTAAACAATTAAATATCGTTTAGTTTTTGTTATTAACTCAATTTGTTAAAAAGTTATATACGGTTGGAATAGAACCTGATGTAGGAACTGGTGAGGCCAGACGTCGCTTTTGACAGGAGGCGCTTAATACGCTCCCACTGCTTCAAGCGAACATGGACTCCATCTCACCGAGATATATCTTCCATAAGCCATATAAAGTTATAACAAAATAAATAGAAGAGCCGGATGTAGCAGGTACGATTCATGTCTACACCGACGGTTCTAAAACAAAACAAGGCCCAGGATATGGAATATACTCCAGATTCTTAAACCTAAACATAAAATGGACTGTGAGTAATAGTGCCAGTCCAGTTCAAACAGAGCTAACGAGAATTCTCATAGCAGCAAACGAAATCAAAAGGAACAATATAATATAATAATAAGCTATACAGGTAGCAGACAAGCACTACTCACCCTGAATAGACCATGAATTTACTCAGGGTTAGTACTAGAATGTCACGAAGCTTTGGCCGAAGTATCATTCATACATTATGGTAACCTTAAGATGGAACAAAGATCACGCCACATCGAAAGGTAACCGTCTTGCTGATTCACTATCCAAGAAAGCAGCCAACTAAATATTTTTTGGACCTGACCCTTCTATTGGCCTGACAAAATCGGTAGTGATAGACCTAATTAAAGGACATTCTCTTGTGAAATTCAAGAAAAGATGGGATAAAACAAAAAACTGCAGAGTTGCCAGTGAGCTCCTAAGTTATCCTGACAACACTGCAGCAAACAAATACTTGACTATGACTAGACGGAATCTGCGCCTAGTCACAGACATTCTGACTGGTCATTGCCAAGTACGGAAGCATCTCCATATCATGGGGCTGTCAGAATCCACACTTTTAAAATCACTTTTAACAATCCGGTAATTATTTACCCAAGTTGGTGTTTTTTCCAGAAAGGCTAGGAGTTTCTTTTTACTTATATAATAACATGATTATAAAAGCATAAAAAATAGGTAACAAACCCATTACTGAGTAATTCGAAACCACCTAAATACGGCTTATGAGATGTCAGCGAAAGTAGATCCGACTGTAAAATATTTTTTATTATCAACAATGTTAATTGTAATAAAACATATTGAGCAAATTTTACAACTATTTAATATTATTTAACTATTTTTGAATAAGTAAAGTCACTTATTAAATAACTGAATTTTACGACCATAAATATGAATTATTTTGACAATATTCTCTTAATTACCATTCAATTGCTTTAAGGTTTCGACATATTAACAATCAGTTTCAAACGGTAATTACCTAAAGGAGGGTCATCGTTAACTTTCGATAACATTTTCATTTGTCGGTTGTACTTAGCGTCTTCGAGATGTCGTCGAAAGTCGTTACGGAAACCGTCCAGGATAATGGAAAAGACCAACTTTCTAATTCGAGGGAAATTGATTGGTTAAAGGTACTTTTTCAAATTCAAGTAACATTGTCGGCCCTGTGTGCTTTTAGTTTCATTATATATGATTCTTATTGGACTACAATATTTTTTGGTAAGTAGCATTTTCTTTATTTTGTAATTTTGGTATTTCCAGGATTCATTATTTTTTTATTTTTAATATTTGTAACCCGTACATATTGGTAGATATAATTAAATTTCCCATAATCTGATTCCTTTTGGATATTAATTTCATTTCTTCAAAATTTTCGTCAGCATAATATTTTTCCACTCAAGTTTAAATTACACAATTGTTAATTTTTACAAAAATCGCTGCTTACAATTACTAGAATAAATTTAGGAATTATTTTGAAAGATATAAATCAAAAATAATTAAAAACTCTTTAATTGTATTAAAATATTCATAAAAACTACATTAAATTGGCAACTTTCAAGATTACTCCATTCATTCATTTTTGTAAATGAATGAAACTTTAAAATATTGATGAAGATTGGAAAAATACTTTTTTTGGAGATAGAAATGGAAAACTTGTAAAATGTAATTATCACATTAAACTGCTCTTACTACCTGTTGAAAGAAAAGTTTTATACATTTTCTTCTTAAAATATAATTAAATTAAAAACAGAAAGGGTTAAATTAAAACAGAAAAACTACTTCTTGCTGATATTTTCATAATTATTATTTTCAATTTGTTCAAAACGAACGAATTCAAGTTGTTGATTTACTGTAAAATTTTAAACAAAGGTTTCAAGAAAGTTTATTAATTAATATAAAAATTCTTTTGAAACTGTAGACATAATTGCAATTTAATTATATTCTTGAGAAGGGATTAACATTAGTGTTTATCTGGTTTTTGAATTGTGACCGTAAACTCAAACATTTTCTTCCTCATGTATGTTGGTATGATATTTAGTCAAAATTAACTCTTATTTTTAAGATCCATTCTTCAAATACAATTAATATTTTTTAAATTTCGTGGTAAGATAAAGGAATATGTCCGCTTTGCGCTCGACCGTTCTGCGCTCTTAACTGAAATCGACCAGATTGCGCTCTGCGATTTTCGAAATAGAAATGTATACATAGAAATTGACAGTTTTGCCGAGGAGCTAACCGTAGTGAACATACATAAATTATTAAAATGTGAATAGTTGTGGAAGTTTTGGAAATTGTAATTAAAAAATTATTTCTAGTCCTTAAATACATACGATTGCCCTGTTCCGCCAGTAACAATTTGAAATTACTTATTGTATACTTTAAGAAATAGCGCTTATGATAAAAAAGTCATGTTAACCGTTTCGGAGCTAGGGGGGGGGGGGGAATCGAATAAAAAAATTTCGTGTTAATTGCCTGGAGCTAATGGTAATCATTAGAAAATAATTTAAATAGTAAGAACCATCGTCGTCAGACAAATTCCATTGGCGGTTCGCGAACGGGAAATTTTTTAAAAAATAAAAAACATTCAATGTAACCGGGCCAAACTTTGTTTTGTATTGTTTCTTCTGTCATGTATATCATGGAAAAAATACAGTCAGAAAATTTCAAAAAATAACCATTTAGTCCCAAATAATAATAAAATTTAGCAAATTCGGTTTATTTAACCCTCCGCGATGCCCCTCCCAAGAGATTAAAAATTAAAACACTGATTTTTGCGTGGTAAAGATTCAAAAATGTTACAGAATATGTTATATTTTATATCTGATATTTATGCCTACCTACAACCCTTTCTAGAATTCAAAAATGGGGTTAAAGAGGGGTGAAATTCTAAATTCATATGAAACCGCCAAAATTTATCATTTTCGTGCTCAATCCGTTAACATTTACAAACGTTTACTTTTATCAGTGAAAATTCACTCTGTACAAGGTGTAAAAAATGTATAAGATATCGTTTTCACCCCTAGAATCGGATTAAGGGTTGTTTTTGGGACACGCCTATTTTGTATCAACGTTTTTTTACTTACACATTAAGGTCATTATCTTTATCATCCATTAAATGTTTGTAGTAAATGTTTGGCTCTTCATCATACATATTGAGATCACTAAAATGTTCATTTTCCTTGAATGCTTTCTCAAAGCTGTCTATTTCTGAAAGAAAAAAACTTATATAAAGAAATATTACTTTTTCTTTTAAGACCTATATCTTTTTCATTGATATATGTGTTAGGATTGATATGAAGAAATGCCTAAGTTTTTCTAAATTTTTGTTTAATAACTCCTTATATGTATGTTTGAAAAAATTGTTGTTTTGTACAGGTTTTTTGAACAATGAACATTTATTATTGATTGTTTGTTTTAATACCTAAATTGGCGTCGTCTCCTTCTTCGACGTCGTCTTCAGACAAGTTGATCTCTTCGATTGAAGGAGGAAATTGCGGTCCATCAAACCATTTAAAAGTGTACGACAGCTGTCCATCGTTATTCGTTTCTACTTGCCAATCATACTGCAATGCGTGTGACTAACATTGAATACGTTTTGCCAAACTGAATTTGTCTGACGCCAACATTTTATTATTTTTTTGGGAATAAGTGGACTCCAAAATAGGCGGTCAGAATAATTTAATAATTTTAACCTATTTTTGGCAATTTGTGAAATGTTTTACCATACTTCCGAATTTTTGGGATCAAATGTTTAAAAAATGGACAAACTATCATTTCTGACCGTAGTTTTTCATGATATGCATGACAAAAGAAACAATATAAACAAAGTTCAGACCGCTTACATCGAAAAAAATTTTTTTAGAATTTTAAAAAATTTCCCGTTTGCGAACCGCCAGTGGATTTTGTCTGACGATTATGGTTCGTCTATTAGTTAGGTACATATACTAATGATTACCATTAAAACCAGGCGGTTAACACGAATTTTGTTTTTTCAATTTTCCCCCCTCCCCTAACTCCGAAACGGCGGACCCGCCGCGCATATAGTATAGAAAAAAAAAATCAATCAAATTTACTACAGAGCTCAAGTACCACTAGTCAGACGGTTAACATGACTTTTTAATCGTAAGGTACTGTTAAGAAAGCCTTCACTCTTTAGAAAATCAAGAAAACGATTATTACAAAACTATGTACCATTATCAAACCGTTATATTAAGACTAGTCTGATTCTCAACAGTCTTTTTAAAATATTAAAACATTAAAAAAGTTTCGTCTTTGGTCTTAAGAATATAGCCAAAAGTTTTTTGTGAAAAGTCATCCGTGAACATTAGGATGTATTTGGCTTTTCTCCAACTTGGCTTGGACATAGGTCAACATACGTCTGTGCGAACAAGCTCACATCGCTCAGATGCACGTATGGCTACATCATTAGGAAATCCTTTTCTTGTTTGCTTAGCTTGTACCTATACAAGGAATGCAGGGTGAAGCTGGATTTTTGTCACTAAATATTATACCGTCAGCAAGATTTCTCAATATTAGGCTTCTGTTACTTAAGTGCTTAGTCTCTTGTGTTACTAGTTGATTAAGGGATATTGCAACATCTCTATTATTTTCTGGTTGAAGTGGTTGATCTAGACTATAAATTCCATTAACTTTAGACCCTGTATAATTTCAGTAATCCGTTCACTTTAAAATATTCCTTAGAAAAAGCTCAAACCCATGTTCATTAAATACCAAAAAAGAGACCATTATTTGTTATTTGGCTAACAGATAATAAATTAGCTGCTGCATCAGATGCATAAATAATATTTGTAATGGTTCCTGTATTACTAGTATTATCTTTAAAATTAGTTAGTTCAATGGAAATATCACCAGAACCACTACCGCCAAATGTATTTTTATCTGCTGTAACAGAATCTGGATAAAAATTGTTCATGTCGAGGGCTTACAGGGTTACTGGCACAACTGTCAACATACTATGAATTATCATCAAAAGAACCAGCAGCAGAAGCAGTTGAAATAAGGAGTACATTTTCCTTGTTCTTGGATTTACCTCCAGATGTTGATTGATTTGATTGGCCCTTAGCATATTTAAATTTCGGACGTATATAACCCTTCAATCTACATTCATGGCATACAACAGTATTTTTAATATTAGAAGTCATATTTTTATTCTTGGCAATTAAGGCCGAATCAGATTAAGTCTCTTCTTTTAAACCACAACGCGCATCTTCTTCTAACAGAGTTTTAATAACATTTTCACTTGTAATTGTGGTATGAATCATGAGTAGCTCCATAGCCACTAAGCAAAGTTTCGTAAGATTCTGGAAGTACACTTAAAAGCAGCATACCTACTTCAGAATCGTCCATTGTAACTTTTATGCCCGCTAATTTCTGAACCAGTGATAACACACCACTAACATGTTCGTCTATGGAAGCATACTCTTCAAACTAAAGCTGTCAATTTCTGACGTGATAAACGGTTAACCGGTTCGACTGATTTTGACCGATTTCGGTTTTAACCGGATTTTTACTATTATTATAACCGGTCCGGATATCCGATTAACTGGTCCGATTAACTGGTCCGATTATCCGGTTAACCGGTCCGTATATCTGGTTAACCGGTCCGGATATATGGTTAACCGGTCAGATTATCCGGTTAACCGATCCGATTATCCGGTTAACCGGTCCGATCAAACCGGTTTAACCGTAACCGTGACCAGTTAAACCCGTCACTGGTTTATCCGTTACTGGTTTAACTGTAACCATCACCGGCTTAATCGTGGTATATGTTGCATATTTTGGATAACTGTGACGTAAATTTATTAAAAAATAATAATTTTCTTAGTTTTGCTTTGTTTTATTATTACATTTGGAATGTTTATATTTGTTTGTATTTTTTCTCATTTTGTTTTACTTACTTTTAAATGTATAAGTTTTAAAAACATCGATGTTTATAAATATAGTTTTTTTCACTTTGGTCATTTTAATGCCATGTATACTTTGTTTTTTTATATCGTTCGATGTCAGTATCGACGTTTTAAGAAATATGCGCATCCCTACTAAGAGCTCAAACTATACTTGTTCGTTTACGTTCACGTTCTCGCTTAAACCCGATTAGGCTACGGTTAAAACAGTTACGGCTCAACAAGTGACAGGTTTAACCAGTTCAATTAGATTTACACCTGTTGCGGTTAAACCGGTTACGGTTAAACCAGTTATAAACCGGTTACGTTCTTTAACGACTAACACAAACGGGCTCTACAGAAAGACTGATTTTGCAAGTGCCCTCTGATCTTTCTCATCAATATGATCCTGGCAAAGAACACACTTCCAGAGACCATAATCAATTAGGACCATTTTTATGACTTTTTTATGCTAGGTACTCCAGCCGGTCCCATATAAACTACTGTAGCATTTAGTGTAGCATTGAAGTTATCCTTAGAAATAACATTCATTTTGAACTCGATAAGTATTTTAGCCTCAGAAAAAAGTTTAAATCTTTTAATGTGTATCTATGTCTGGGCCCATAACCTGTCAATGAGAAGTCTAAATAAAGTAAACTTCTTTTAAAGTGTATTAATAGAGAGATATTGCAAATTTTCGTTTGTTTTTTTTTATGTAGTAGCAGTAGCAGTATTTTTTTTGTCGACCATTACTGAGTTTACCAATATAATTTTTACTTTCAGGACTCACACTTACTTTCCTTGGACACATAGGCGTCGCTGCAGGGGCTCACAGACTATGGGCCCACCAGTCGTACATAGCAAATCGTCCACTAAGATTTTTCTTAATGTTGTGTCAAACTTTATCAGGCACAGTAAGTAAACAAAATATTATAATATTAAATAAAATAATGCTTTTTGACTCTTTGCCCTAAAAAAATAGCATTTAAAATAGTTTGGCATTGTTATTTTCGATTATGCTTACGTATACAAGGTGTTTAATTAAGAATAGGACATAGAACAAACAATTGCAGATTCTCTGATAGAAAATAACACAATTAAAAACATGCTTAGATAAAATGTTATGCGTTTCCGAAAGAATGTTCAAAAATTATAAATTTCTATAATTTTTTTATTGCTTAGTATAATTTTACTAAATTCGGCAAAAGTTTTTAGTCTCATTAGAAACACCTACAACAGTTAAAGTCACTTTGCCAGTGGCGTACATCCTAAATTTTACGCCAGTATCCAAAAACTTATTTGGACATTCGAACATTAATAAACCATCTGGCAAAAATCCACCGGTATTTCCAATGTGAGTTATTACTAACCGATTTCCTTTTCCTGTTGGATTTTTAAGAGGCTCCTTCCATAAAGGCTTGTTTTTAGTTTTGATGAATGTATCTTGTCAAATTTGGCAAGATATATTCATCAAAACTATATAACAAGCCTTTATGGAAGGTGTCTTCTGTGGATTAAAAAACTCCCGTCTGTGGGGCAAATTAGAAAAATAGTTCCATCCTTAAAGGGTTAAAATTGCAAAGCGCTTACGGCTTACGCTATATTTAGTGGTTATTGTTAGTCAAGGACTATCCAATATTATTAATCGTCCTCGTATATTTAAACATTAAATGTTTGATGATCCCAACTTTCTAAGTCATCTTTCTAATTTATTTAAAATTATTTTTGGTTTGTTTATTACAAATTTTTTCACCCCTATATTAAGCCATTTTAGTAAAATGGTTTCCAAATTTGAAGGGTTGCTAAGGTGACGAGTACCTAACCACAAAAAAGTTAGAAATTTCTAAAATTTTTTAGATACCTATAAAATTCCTTTGATTTTGGTATGAATCACGTGACAACGAAAATATTTATTTCACCGCTCGTTAGAATTAATTTGTCTACCAAAAACAGCATAAATAGTTATTTAGGTTAAATTGAATAGAATAAACAAAGTGGCCTTTGGACATTGTGCTTTTGTATATCTACAGATTTTCAAAGTAATGAATGACTATTCATTTCATTTTTGAATAAAGGCAGGAAGTTTAGATACATTCACAATTCAAGGTTACTTTAAAAAGAATATAAACAGTTTTGAATAACTTAAAACAAAGAATATACCATACATCATGTGGAATTTTTTTAATATCCGAAAAAGTCCTTGACAAATTCACATGCTCTCTTAATTTAGTGATTTAACAAGAAAGTAATAGTAATAATAGTATAATTACGAAGCAGTTTAATTTTTACCAAGGTTTGTGTGCTATTTTATTCACAATTATTTAATTTTGAAGCATAATGATTAAAAAAAAAAAAGAGAAATAGTTATTACACAGAATTGGTTACAATACTGAAAGGAAAGTAACGGTGAGCACTTTGAAGTAGAAACGGTGAAAATATCTGACATTCAGCTCCTTCAGCTCCTTCAGCTCCTTCAGCTCCTCCAGCTCCTTTAATTCCTTCAGCTCCTTCAGCTCCTTCAGCTCCTTCAGCTCCTTCAGTCCCTTCAGCTCCTTCAGCTCCTTCAGCTCCTTCAGCTCCTTCAGCTCAGTCAGCTCCTTCAGCTCCTTCAGCTCCTTCAGCTCATTTAGCTATTCAGCTCATTCAGTTCCTTCAGCTCATTCAGCTCCTTCAGCTCCTTCAGCTCCTTCAGTTCCTTCAGCTTCTTCAGCTCCTTCAGCTCCTTCAGCTCCTTCAGCTCCTTCAGCTCCTTCAGCTCCTTCAGCTCCTTCAGCTCCTTCAGCTCCTTCAGCTCCTTCAGCTCCTTCAGCTCCTTTAGCTCTACTGTAGAGGTACTAAGGCACGAGAATATAAACTATTCATTAAAACTACACCGCGAAAACTACATCTATTTCTATTGTATTTTGACAGTGCTCCACCATCAATAAGACGTTTCTACAGTGGCTAGTGTTTTGGCTGTATCTCTATATTTCTTTTCTGTATTGTTCATCTATCCTGTGGTTATTGTTTTTAAAAGTATATTAAAATATTATTACTTTGCTATCACTAAGTTGGTTTTAAAATCAAAACACTTTAACATTTAAGGACTGCCTGATGACAAGGATTGTATATCTAAGGGTTTAAGACATACGATATATTCTATCTACAAGACGTGAAATCATGAATAATGGATTATAATTAAATATTTTATGTCGAACACTATGGAACTATTATTTAAAAAAAGATGCTTATAAGTTTTTCATAAATTGGCAGGATTGGCGACTACCATTTCGAATAAAATAGCGTCCAAGATGGAAGGCTATATCGCAACCCCTTTAGATATACGAGCACTTTTCACTGACAGCTCTTGTTCGACAGGTCGTTGGAATGCCTAATTAGGCATTCAAAACAAATGAATTGCCGGTGGTAAGGTTTGGTATATCAAAGGGTTGCGACATATTTTATCTACAATATTTAAAGTCATGAATAATGGATTACACTTAAATATTGTATGTCGAACACAAATATCTTGTATCTTGTATTATATGGTAAATACAAGATACAAGATATTTGTTTGTAGTTACCTCTCCTGTTATCTCCGGTTCCTGTCCATTTGTGAGAGAGGGGTAGAGAAGTAAATGTTAATTTACCATTTTTTCTCTATGAATTTATTGTTTCTAAATGGCGGTGACTAATCTAAAATTATAATTTTCATTTCTTAAAAGAAGGGTAGTAAGTAAGATAATCCTATTGGTGTCTCTTAAGCTATAAAAGGAGCACACAATTTTGCACTGCTCTGCTCTAACATTTGATTGAAATAAAATTTTATCGAATAACAATTGATCGAAACGAAAAATGATCGAACAGAAAAATGATTGAAAAGAACAATAATCGAAAGGAAAATTAATCGAAAATAGATTTTATAGAAAAAGCAATTGATCGAAAAACCAAATATACATAACATTATAGAGAAATATGAAATGTTAAAACAAAATTTTTAACTAATTTACATAACCTGTGCGGCCTAGAATCATCGCTGCTTGCTTCGCAAAAACAAATATACAAAAAATGAAAAAATAAAAAACTTAACCAACGTACCTAACTTACCTAACTTGTGCAAGAGCAATCAGTTAAATTTAAATAGCACAGGTTCGGTAAATAAGTTAATTTTTTATTTTTCTCATTTTTTTATAATTTTGTTTTGCGAGGCAAACCGCGACTGCTCCAGACCGCACAGGTTAGGTAAATTAGTTAAGTTTTTTTATAAAAACCTAACTAATCTGTGTGAGAGCAATCAGTTAAAATTAAATTGCTTCAGGCACAGGTTAGGTAAGTTAGTTAAGTTTATTTAATTCTCCCATTTTTGTATATTTTTTTTGCGAAGCAACACTCGAGGGCTCCAGGCCGCATAGGTTAGGTAAAAATAGTTAAAATTTTTGTTTAGTTTTTTTTAGTTTTCTATATTTTTTTTGCAAGGCAAACCGCGACGGGTCCAGATCGCACAGGTTAGGTAAATTAATTAAATTAAATTAATATATTACCTAAAATGTCCCATCGGGAGACAACTCGATCTTATTGAAATAAATATTTAGTGCGAATTTATCACAATTCTTTAATCTCAATGAAGATAAATAACAGTTTAACTCTAAACGATTAATTTCTAAATTAATTAAGTAATTTAAAAGAGTTGTCGTTTGAGATTATAGAAAAATTTGTCATTAGTACCTAATTTTTATAGCCACTGAGTTTGGTTTCCCCAGTAGAAGGGATTAGACTGACGGTTGCATGGTGTGGTTTGATTTTTTTAATATTTTACTATTTTTAATGTTGATGTTCGATATACATATTGTTTTTTCGATCTATTTTCTTTTCGATAAAATGTTATTCGATAAAATATATTTTCGATCAAATATATTTTCGATCAAATGCCATTCGATAAAATGTATTTTCGATTAAGTTTCCAATTCGATCAAATGTTTTTTGTTCAATTTTGTGCCACCCCTGCGGCATCTCAGTATTCTCATGGATGTGAAGTCTTTGTGCGTTTCCCTGCAAATTTCTTGATCTTTTCTTTGACGGTTGCTATTTTCCAAGCCTCTGGTATAGTTTTGTTAACTGAAATATTGCATTTATCAAATGAGGTTAACCTAAGCTTTTTTTAGGTAACTTCTTAAGAATTTCTCCGATTATAAGTCATAGAAATAAGAACTTTTTTGGATTTATATTGTTCTCAATAATTTTCTGCGCTGCTTCATACGCCAGTTGGTTATAATTTTTGTTATATACAAAATTTTCCAAAAATGGTCCGTATTCGAGAAATTTGACAAAATTTAAAAAAATCAAATTTTTATGAAAATTGTACAAATAAAAGTTATTTGTGATATAATTCTCTATAATTCTTGTTCCACACATAGTTTCTCTAAAATATTTGAGAAAAAGTGTAAATCTCGAATTTTGAAGGAAACTCAAAAACTGATAAAGATAAAAACATCAAATTTTAAACTTAAGCTTTATTCCGGCCTGAGGTGAACTGATTAAATTTTGGGCATAGTCTGAGAGTACTTTATAGCGGGTCCTCTTTACATTTTATAGAATATTTTCGTTATTTACGTTTGGACAAGAAAATTGTTCAAATAAAAGTTACTTCTTATATTATTATCTGTAATTTTTATTTTATACAAAATTTTCCTAAAATGGTCCGTATTCAAGAAATTATACAAAATGTAAAAAATTTAAATGTTTGAGAAAATTGTTTAAATAAAGGTTATTTAATATAATTCTTGTTCCATACATAATTTTTGTAAAATGGACTGTGTTCGAGATATTTAAGAAAATGTGTAAATTTCGAATTTTGAAGAGAACTCATCAATGAAATATATTTGTTATTTACATTTGGAGAAGAAATTTCTTTAATAAAAGTTTCTTCTCATATTATTTTCTATAATTGTTGCCAACATTTTTCTAATATTTGAGAAATTTGTAAAAAATAAAAAATCAAATTTTTATGAAAACTGTTCAAATGAAAGTTGTTTGTGATATAGATCTATATAAGTTTTGTTTTATACATGATTTCTCTAAAAGGGACCGTAATGGAATAATTGGAGGAAAAGTGTAAAATTTTAATTTTTTAATATTTTCATTGGCAATGTGACGAAAGTCTAATTTATTTGTAGTTTATTTATTTAAAAACACACTATTTACAATTTATTTCAGACGTACTATTTAATTTTTATAATATTTAGACACTAACTAACAATTCTAATTTATTTCTTACACTTTAACTTTTCAATACAATGTTCTATATTCAACTAAACTCGGCGCTGATACGTCGGCTATTTATATTAGTCCAACTCCGCTACTGGAAAATGCTAGAGACTCGCGAAGATTCTACCCCTATGACTAATCGGCACTCTCCCGCCGTTCTAGTTGCTTCCAGTGCATCAGCGGCAGACATCCCGTCGTATTCTTGTACATTCGAGACGCGGGCCGGCTGTTCGAGACGCGGGCCGGCTGTTCGAGACGCGGGCCGGCTGTTCGAGACGCGGGCCGGCTGTTTCCACACGTCAGCGTTTCTTCGATCATGAGTTGGTTGCGTGCGTACACAGGGTAGGCTTTAAGAATTTTCATGACAGCAATATATAAAAAAAATGTTTCGGGTTAGAAGAATGTGGAACATGTATATATTTATTTTATCCTCTAAATATTTACATAGGTGCTACAATAGGTTGTACAAAATAACCGGAAAAAGCCTGTAATAACTAGAGAGGAAAGTCGTGTTGGACACATTAGATTTTTATTTTGTGCCCTTGATCTTTACTAATTTTTTTCTAATTTAATTTTTTCAGTTACTTTATTATATAAAATATAGACCTTTTCCATAGAAAATGTGCTATCATGCATTTTCAAATAAAATATAGACCATAATTGTTCCTGATATCCTTTTCATTTACTTTTCTTGTTTACTAGGTGGTGAATAATGTTTTTTTATGAATAGTTTCACTTAAAGTTAAAATAAAGGAAAAAAATGATCTAAACCCAGATCAAAGTGTTCTTTTCTTCAACTGCTATGTAGTTTAAAGAATTTTTTTAATTATAAAGAAATTCAACAAGTTTATGGATCACTATACCAATATGTAAGCTTTTCCAATTGATTTATAGCAGTTTTAAACTTTTTTGATGTACCGAAACTCGTCAACGAATAATGACATCTTTTTTCAAGATACTATTTCGACTTATAAAAAACAGTCAACACTAATCTTATTAGATATATTCTCTTTCCCAGACATACTCGATAATAATTATAAAAACCGATGTAAAATCGTCGATTTTGATCATTTTGCTTCTAATAAAAAATAACGTCTCATTTTAATATATCAAAATAGTGAAGCGCACAAAAACCTTAATTTACCTAATGCATGTTTTGTGAGAACCGTGACTTTCAATTTATATTAATCTTATCAAAAGACAAATTTTGTAATTTAACATTATACTTTTTTAGGGTTCAATATATGACTGGGTTCGATGGCACAGATTACACCACAAATATTTTGGTGCAGACCTGGATCCCTACAATCCCTCAAAAGGTTTTTTCTATGCCCATGTACATAGCACAGTACTTAGGCTGAGTCCAGCACAAGAAAGGGCACTCAAAAACATTGATATGAGCGATATCGAAGATGATGCAATTGTTATGTTTCAGAAAAAGTGAGTAGATTTGTTTAATAAAAAATAATAGCTAAACGATGTTTTTAAATTGGGTAAAGATCTTTGGTAGACCAATAAAGCTAATACGATATTACAAAGTGTATTGAGGACAAAAATACATATATGATACAATACAAAATCAAATAAAAATATATGTTTTTTCTTTAATCTAGTCATTTTAAAAGTTCAAATAGGGATATTAGTTTTCCACCCTGTTTTTCTTTTAAAACACTATTATAATTAAACTTATAGCCAGGAATACAGCAGGTAATAGGCATAATAATTGTTAATTACCTTGTAACTGGTCAATAACGGGTCACCAGTTACTTTTTACTACTTTATTTAATTAAATGGTTAAAAGTCGGATTAAAAACACCACTCCAATGCAGCCTTTATGCTAGAGCTAGAGGTAATATATCAGGATACTTTATTATCTCTATGTCAATACACACTTAGGATAGGTCTGCAACAAACATCTGCAGCCTGGAAGATGAATTTGCAGAGCACATTCTATGTGCCTACTCCACTTTGGAAAGAGAACTAGGGTCTAGATCTTCAGATTCACCTAACCGGGGCCTGGCCTATCGACTTTTTCAACCTAACCTAATACACACTTTTAACAAGTAAGGTCAAGTTGGTTAACTGGAACCTAATTTTACAACATTTAAATTTGCAACTATGTACGAGACGAACCTGCAAAGAAAATTGGTCAAGATTCTATAGATATGCAATTTAGATCTTTGTAAATCAACTGCAATAACGGCTTGAAAACAAAAATGCTTTTCTGAGCTTCAAGTGAATTTTTAATTTTTTTTTCTCAGTAAATTCCAGTTACCCAGGAATTTGAGGTAACTGGAACTAGATAGTGTAATTCTGTATTTGTACAATGTAAAAAACTTTGAGGTAACTGGAACGTTTCGTAAAGCATCACTCGTTTAAAATTTCATTAATTTATCTTAAAAAATAGCCGAGAAAATGAAGATGTTAAAAATCCTCTAAATATTAAAGAAAAAACGCTTTATTCAAAATAAGTACTTAAACAACAAATGAAACAACTAAACTAAAGTGATGTATGAACTTATATAAAGTACTAATGATATTTTTCATTTTAGGTATCATATATTATCCCCTATTATTATTTTGTTGGGGCTCATGGATAACTTTTACTATGTCTATTTCGTCATGTGCTAAGATATCGAGCTTTTCAGGCCAACGCTAAGCGAACACTCCACTTTTTACCATGTGAGATATGGGATTTCTGTGTCTTTTACTTTCAGCAATTTTTCAGGATACATTTCCATATTATACCTAACAAGCATACAATCACCCTCCACGACAGCCACGACATTGTCTGCATCCTCATCCGACATCAGTTCTATACAGTCTTCTGAATCATCTTCACTACCTTCGGTCTCACTTTTAGTATTCTTCGATTTGATATATTTTTTTATATTTATTTGGAGTTTTTTCTCTTTCGAAGGATCTATGTTTTGGTTAGAGTTCACTTTTTGAGCTATTTTCATAGACTTTGTTTCTTTTTCTCCTCTTCCAGTTTTTTATTTTTCTCTTCTAGTTTATTTTTCTGTAAGTAGTCTGATGTGGTTATAATTTCTGCCCCATAGCAGATCTTTCTTCTCTTTTTTTCATTTTTTAGTAGTTCAGCCACTAGACTATTAAATGGATTCAAACAAATATTGATTTGGGTGTTTGAAGGTCCAGGTTTGTCTTCAGGCATCAACTCCTCTTTACCTTGTTGCTTATTCACTATACTTGTTTGCTGTTCTTTGTTAACTAAACCTTCCATTTGATGAATTGTTCCATTTTCTTCATTTTCATTAATTTCTTGCTCTTTCGTTCCAATAATCACCTCGTTTTGTTTACCGTGATGGTTATATTTTACAAGATCTTGCTGTGAAAATATTGTTTCAGAAAATTTTGTTCGATCTAGTTTACCTGTATCTAAATTATGGATACTTGTTACTTGAAACCCATTTATAATGTTCTGTTTAGGCATTTCCAAAAATTCGTTGTCAAGAAGGTGCGTAAATTCAGTTTCAGGAATTTTTCTTCTTGGGTTGAGCCTTTGCCATTTACAAAGATTTTTATCCCATGTCGCTTTCATGCTCTTAAATACACCAACATTGAGTGGCTGAAGCAGATGGGTTGTATGTGGTGGTAATTTTAAAATACATATATCATTATCAAGGGCTTCTTGGATCACATTACTCGAAATATGGGTTGTATGTCCATCTACAATTAAAAGGATCGGACGTTCCTTTGGTGCATGAGGTAAAAAACATTTTCTAAACCAATTCGCAAATATTATGGTCGTGATCCATCCCTTATCCGAAGCGGATATATTAATTATATCTAGTGGTTCAGGTTTTTCAGGTAACATCGAATCGATAACATTTTTTCCCTTGAAAATAGTTAACAAAGGCAATTTCTGGCCTGATGCTGAACAACATACTAACACTGTGGTATTTTCTCTGCCGCATGTAGATAAAGTCCTTGTAGCTTTTGTACCCACTGCCCCAAGAACTTTTGTTTTTGAAGGGTCACTGGAGAAGGATGTTTCGTCACAGTTGAACATTTGTTCAGGTCGATTCTGTTACTTTAAGTTTAAAATTGTTTTTTTTTACAAGACCAAAGAAACCGTACATTGTCCAAGGGTTTTCTGGCCTTTTGCTAGCCACCTCTACTCCTTGAGCTTTTTTGAGAGATAGCTTATTTCTTTCACAAAAATTCAAGAACCGTTGTTCTCCGGGACGATTATTTTTTAATTTTGTATTATTTAAATTTCTATTCTTCAAATATAACTGCACTAAGTCCAACGTCTCTTGGCGTGGAAGCCCATATCCCCACTTTTGCATTGTATTTAATGTATAAACTAGTTGCTCTTCCGCTTCTTTAGTTAAAGTATTTTTCCTCCTCCTCCGTGTCCTTCCTTAGTATAGTATATAGTATAGGGCCCAGTTACCTCTAGGTTCCAGTTAACCATTTGAAAGTTTTTCGAAAAAAATCGCTGGAAAAATAACACGATACGCTTTAAAAGTGTACTAAAATGTGAGTGAAATAGACTCGAATGCCGTGTTGTCAAATTTAGGTTTGCTAGGCTAGAATGTTACTGCCTTTAGCCGACACGCTTTGAATATAATGATGTCGATGCGATAGGCCAGTTCGTCTATATTGATTCATCTCATTGTCAGCGATGTAGAGAAAGATAATTAATTGAATTAGTGTATTCTGATACAGTGTTAGTTTATAATACGAGTATGTTTAGTACTAGATATATCCGTGTCATACTAAATCAAGAATCGTAATGAGATTCGCCCAACAGTGTCTCCTTTTTTGTTGTATTTCATTGAGAGATAATATAGTTTTTTTTTGCGAATCTTCAAAGTTTAATATCAAATATTGCTTTTTCATATGAATAAGTTAATATTTTAGATCTATTAGAATTTAAAAATGAATAAATTGAAAGTATAAAGTTATCTATTAATACAACCAACAGTTACTACAGCCTTTTTGATTCTATTAGTCTGAAAAAAATATATTTTTAAAAACAATTTATGAAAACAATATTTTGTCTTATTATTCACTTAGTAATCTAAAATGTATTTCTTTTTTCAGGTGGTATATTGCTATGTATTTGATAATAACGCTTCTACTACCAATCAACGCACCGGCAGAATACTGGGGTGAAAGTCTCTATTCCTCCATTTTCATTTTAGGATGGTTAAGAGGTACCATTAATCTCAACCTTTGTTGGTTAATCAATAGTGCTACGAAAATTTGGGGACTTGAACCAGGAGAAAAGTGAGTCAATGTAAAATTTAATTTACTATACTTCAAAATACCTATCTCTCTACAAAATAGGGTCCTATGATTGAACGTTTACGTTAATTTTAACACGAATCTGTTATGTTATGCTAACAGTAACAGGGAATAGATAACGTATGAAATAACAGTAGGTGTCGTATCGGTATGACTGAAAGGATCGATAACAGAAGATGTTAAGCTGGCTGTTACGAATGGAAAAAAGTATTTATTTGCGTTATTGCGCGTGCGCACCTAACTTCACTTCATTTCCAAAAATGACTAAAATGAGGTTTTTCATGTTTTTCTGAATGTAATAACAACAACAATTAGGTTAGAATTTTTGTAGTTTATTTTTCATTTTATTTAATTTATTATGGCGAAAAGATTAACTAAAACAACGGTGTAATAGTATGAGGAACTACTTAATTTTGTTAGACAAAACAAAATTATTGTCACGGAAGAAACAAATATATTAGATAAAAAAGAAATCAAACTTTTGGCTAGTATTTACAAATCATATAAATTAAAAACAAATTCAAATATACTAAGAATTCAGATAATTAGCAATATAGGTATTAGATAATTAAATAATAAACAAATAAATTGGTAACATATACGTTGGGCACTTAACGGTATGTTATTCGAGGCTGTTGAGGCGATATGTTAAATTAAAACACAACAGATGGAAAATAACAGTAATCTGTTATGAAAGACTACAATCATACGAATTTGTCACGTTGCTGTTAAAACTCGGCCTAACATGTACGTTACGGATAACGTAAACGTTCAATCATAGGACCCATTTCTTAAATTTATTAACACTCACAACTGTTTTAATTTAAATGTATTAACATGCACGTGTTAAAACGGTACAAAATACCTTAATCCGTCTATATTTATCGATTTTTAACAAGAGGGAGACCGGACATCGTGGAAGAAAAACAATGCAGTCAGTAAAGAATTTTAACTCGATTAAAAAACGTTTTTTCTTTTTTTATTTCCTAAATAAATTAATAGACCTTCTTGAAATCGGTTTTCGAAAATTTTTCTTCAGATTTATTACCTTGAAAATTAAATGATTTATATAAAAAACAAAAAAATCTGACTTATTAGTTTTGTGAAATGAAAATATGTTGTTATTTTCAGTTTTCAACTGCTTTGTTTCCATAAAAATAAGTACGATATTGTCAAGCAAGTTATTCTCTAGATATTAACACATTCTTCGATTTGCTTTTTAAATTTTTTAAAAATATTCTTTAGTATTTTCATAATTTGGGAAACAGTATAGCTTAAAACTCCTATGTCCGAAAATTGTACGTATGCTCTTAAGATGCTTCTTATCAGCTAAATATTGTTATGATAGTTTATTTTATACAACAGTTTATTTGTTAATAATTTATTTGAACACTTATTTATTTACAATCAATATTTTAATTTATATATTTCGAATGTCTTTAAATTGTTTACTATTTATCTTCACAACTGTTTGTATACAACTGATTGACTGCTCCGTGTTCCTCCACCAATATTTATATACACATTTAAAATTTTGGTGAAGATTCTAGAATGTTCTCACCAATTCTCACCAACACTAGTAACATTATCACAATCAATCTGGAATATACTCGAAAGCGCCTTCGCCATAGTCGTCACATATGTTTGGTCTTAAGGGGTTTAATTATGTATGATAATCAGACAAGTTGAGACTTAAAGGCCAAATAAGACAGACAGGGACAAAATTCTGGTTTAAACAAAATATTATTTTATTTTCAGATACCCATGCGATACAAATCTGGTCTTTATCCTGAACAAGAGTAACTGGCTCTCATATCATTATATAGCACCATGGGACTACCAGACAAGTGAATACGGTCAGTACGGTTCGGATACCGTTTCGAAATTCATCAGAATTTGTGAGGTGTTAGAATGTGCTTCAGATTTAAAAACAATCGACAGCGATACTGTCAGAAAAGCTTTAACAATATCAGTTGTAGAAAAGAGAAACATCACGGAATGTCTCTTGGAGTTGTGCGACTACTCGCAGAAGAAACCAAATTTACTTTAACAAATTAAAATGTATTAAAACTGCAATTTTTGAAATGTAATTAAAAGCGAAATTTAATTTATATTATGCAAATATAGATGTAACATTATTTACAGATTTTAGGGGTATATTTTTTACATTAAAAGTATTTTGGGAGAATCATTGTAAATAAATATCCACCAATTAATGTGTAACAAAATTTAGAAAGCCGCGGTCAAAACATACATCCCACTTTTGAGAATAATCGTTTTTAAAAATATTTAAATATTAATAAAGAGTATATTTTTTTTTTAATTGATTTAGAAAATATTTAATATGATAAAAAAAACCACAAAACTTTTCGAACTTTTATTCAAATAAATCTTTATTTTCATTCTTTATCTTTTTAACATTATCGTTTTGGTCTGAGATTTTGAAAAAATATTTTTAAACTTGTAATATTTATTATGTTTTAATGGATTTGTGCCATTTTTTTCTATTTAAAAAAGTAGTTATCAAAATATTAGAGTAACATTTGAGTAAGAATTGACAAAAAGTGTAACAGAAAAATATATATAGGTACCTGAAACAAAACATTTTAATTATGTATTTGAAACAATATAGTTTTTGTTAGAGTTCCTAATTTTTGTTATAACAAATGAATTACCTAAATAATGAGTAGAACAAATATATTTATTTAAAAATAACTGTATTATATTATATAGGTCCTTTACCATTCTGATAGGTAGTTATATTATATGGTAGATACCAATTATTATTAATTTGACTTACTATAAATATTTTTAAAAAAATTAAAAGCTTCAAGCATATTTTTTTTAATTGAAAGTTAAATAATATATGTTTTATGAAATTGGTTAAGTTTTCTGATGGTGGGGGTAATTGGTGGTGGCTGAATATACTTTTATGTTTTAAGAATTGCAAAAACACAAAAAAAATCGAAAAAAATTAAAAGAAAAAGTTATTTTATATAGATACCTAAATATATTTTTCGTAGCTTAAACTAATTATTTGTCAGATTTTTAAGTAATGAAAATTTTTACAGTTTTAGCAAAGATATATTGGTACATACATGTGACAGAAATTTGGCACAATTCTATTAAGATGTATTGATAAATTTTTTATCTTGATTTGTATTTTTTCATAGTTTCTTCTAATTCTTTTTCTTTATCATAGTGTATATTTTTTCTTTTCTTACTTTAGTAGTTTCCGCCTTATCTTCTCTTTCTCTTTCTATTTTCTCGATTTGTTTTTCCTCTTATTCTTGTTCTTCTGTCTCTTATTTGCCTGCTTTTATTTCTTATTTCTATTTCTTTCATTTCTTTATACTGTTTTTCCCTTTGTTTGATAATCTTTTCACTTAAGTTTTGTTCCACACTGTTTTAAGTTATTTTATTTACCATATTTCACTAAATTTTCATCCTTTTACGTTGTTAAATAGATCAAAAATTTAATTTTAATTTTATGTTCTGTTTGGTATTTATTATGTCTCGTCAGTATATTATTTAGTTATTTTAAAGTAGATACCTAAAAGTTATGTTTTGTATAATATAATGTTTAGAAGTTATTGTGGTTTTTTAAAATTAAAAAGAATCTGTTTTGCTGTTAAGCATTTTTAAATCTTGATAATCAATTTAATACTATATTTTTACATAAAAAATAATTTTACATAAAAACGGCACAGGAATTTTTTATATCGATAATTAACCTTCCATCATAGTAATCTCCCTACATTACCTAATCTTCGAAGCTTGTTGAATTAAATAAAATATTTATTTGTAAATATGTTTTAATGTACCTATTTTTAATAGTAGTATGATTACAATAAGAAGAACACCTCTACGTCATAACCATTACTACTAATTTATAACTATCAATACATAAAAAATAAGTAAGTTGTTAGGTAGAAATAGTAGTTTGTGCAACAACGAAATTTGTATATTTTTTCTACGACCCACTAACGAAAATTTTCAAATAAAAAAAATATTTTAGGTCATTAAGACAAAATAACTATAGTCGAAGTAATGAAGCACTAAAAACGCCAAAGTTCCTGGGTTTTTCGCGGTTTTTTGCATTCGCTTGCAAAAATTATTTGTATCATTCCCCCGTAATTTCCGGGTCATACAAACCGGAAATTGCATTGCTGCAGCAAAAAATGCATTTAAAAAATGCATTATTTGAGAGGCCTCTTGGATGATTTCAAAACTTGTTAAATAAGTGTCATAACTAGCCCAGATCGGGTGCTTTGGAGTTTTCGAGGTCCCTGATCATGATTATGATGTCTAAATTGACTCACAGCAGACCTGGAGCTCAGGAACGTCGACGAACATCATCTTCGTGGGACTCTTCCAAAATTCACGCGGGGAAGGAAGGCAATGAGGTGATCGGGGTTTTTTTTGGGTCGCTGAATCCAAATATGGCATCGGCGAATACCCCCCGGACACCTAGTGCGCCCAAACCTCGACCTGGACGTCATCTCCGAGAATTTTCCTCACAATATCGACCAGAACAACCCGAAAATGATTGAGCGGAGTTTTTTGGGGCGCCGAATCTAAATTTCACGTCGAAAACGACCCTCTGAACACCTGGTGCACCGGAACTTGGCCCTGAACGTCATCCCCGAGGGGTTTCCAGACAAAATTGAAAAAGACGAACCGAAAATCGTTCCGGGGGGTTTTTTGGGGCGCTGAATCCGAATTTCACGTGGAAAACGACCCCCCGAACACTTGGTGCGTCCTAACCTGGCCCTGAACTTCTTCACCGAGGTTTTCCAGACCCAATTGAAAAAGAATATTATGGAACTAATATTCTGTGGATGCAAAGGAGATTGTAATCTGAACACCTGTAGTTGCAGGAAGCACGGTCTACCTTGCAATCTTGCCTGTAAAATTTGTGAAGGTTTAACTTGCCTTAACACTGAAAGATATTCAGATGAAAACGTTAATGTGCCAGAGACAGAGGCCTCAGATGAGGGAGATGTTTCCCGTATGAATACATTAGTCGATGACAAAGAAAATGACCAGACACATTTTAGTTATTAATTAATTAAGGAATGACAAACTTACAGGTTCATTGTATTCGATTTGAGCCCAATAAAAACTGTTTTACCGTAAATTACATAAATATTGCGTTTCTATTAATTCTCTTTCTTTTCTCCTCACGTAATCTAGAATCAACAATTGCACACAGCTATTGCAGTATTGACGCCTCGGAGATGACGTCCAGGTCTAGGTTCAGACGCACCAGTTGTCCATGCGGTGTTCTCCGATGCCATATTTGAATTCAGTGACCTAAAACCCCCCCTTTAACGATTTTCGGTTCGTCTTTTTCAATTGGGTCTGGAAGAACCTTGGTGAAGACGTTCAGGGCCAAGTTAGGGCGCACCAAGTGTTCAGGGGGTAGTTTTCGACGTGAAATTTAGATTCAGCGCCCCAAAAAACTCTGCTCAATCATTTTCGGGTTGTTGTTGTCGATATTGTGAGGAAAATTCTCGGAGATGACGTCCAGGTCGAGGTTTGGGCGCACCAGGTGTCCGGGGGATATTCGCCGATGCCATATTTGGATTTAGCGATTCAAAAAAACCCCGATCGCCTAGTTGCCCTTCTTCACCGCGTGAATTTTGGGAGAGTCCCACGAAGATGACGTTCGTCGACGTTCCTGAGCTCTAGGTCGGCTGTGGGTCAATTTAGACATCATAATCGTGATTAGCGATCTCAAAAACTCCCGAGAACCCGATTTGGGCTAGTTCTGACACTTACTTAACAAGTTTTGAAATCATCCAAGAGGTCTCTCAAATAATGCATTTTTTTAATGCATTTTTGGCTGCAGCAATGCAATTTCCGGTTTGTATGACCCGGAAATTACGGGGAATGATACAAATAATTTTTACAAGCGAATGCAAAAAACCGCATTTCGATCCGACTTGCACGGAAAACCCAAGAACTTTTTGCTTCATTGCTTCGACTACTAATTTTAAAATAATTTATGACTTTCATTAATTTAAAAAAAAAATAAACAAAAAAAAGAGAATCGAACTCGAGTCTTCAGTGTGGAAGGCAAAAACGCTAACCACAGGACCACCTATTCTTTTATTTTTGTTGCTTTAATACTAGTAATTAAATTGACTTCATATAGTTTTATTTACATTATCAAATTATTTATAATTATAGGCGAAATAAAAACAAATGCTATTATTTATCGATTCTACACAAGAATAACCAATCTTAATATATGTTTAATCTCAATAACTAAAAAATATACTGACAATTCGTTTGACAGAATTGTCACTTATTTAAAATTTTAAAAATAATAGCAGTCGGCCTGACCATTCACTGTTGGGTTCCAATTAACAATGCCGTTCCTAAAGTGGCACTGGAAAACAGTAATAAAGCCTACATAGAACACGAGACTAATGACCTTAGCAGTCGATGCCGATGACACCAAATTAAAAAAAAATAGCAGTAGGTTGATCAGTTGATCAAAATATGAACGGTGATTGGTGGAGAACTAATAATTTTTAAAATTATTTTATAAAGCAATGAACTTTGTATCTTTCTTAGTTAACGAGCCATTTACAATTTTTTAAATAAATTTTTGGAGCAATTCGTAAATCCTGGAAGAGTAGGTCAGGAGTTATTGTACAAAAAACGCATATAAAAATCAGTGGTGTGTCTAGGGCTGTGCTTGAGCTGCCCCTGCAAAAACTACCTCTTTTATTTATATTTTTGTATTCAAGAAGGAGGAGGACATGTTGAACATTTACTAAATTAAATAGTTTATAAAATATGTATACTAATTATTGTCAAGTAATTTTTTATTAATAGTTTAAATAAAAAAATATTTTTTTAATTATCATTAAATTTAATATATGCATTTTCAAACTAACGGATGGCTGAGGACGCGTGGCACACAATTTTTATAGCACCACTCCAATATTATAAATACCTTTTTTACCAAAATATAAATAAAAGAGGTAGTTTTTGCAGGGGCGGCTCAAGCACAGCTGTAGGCACACCACTGATTTTTATAAGCGTTTTTTGTACAATAACTCCTGGCCTACTCTTTAGTTTTGATGATATGTTTAGTCCAGGATGGACAAATTGCTCTAGAAATTCAGTTAAAAAATTGTAAATAGCTCGTTAACTAAGAAAGATACAAAGTTCATTTTACTATAAAAAAAAATTAAAAATTCATAGTTCTTTTTGATTTTAAGATCGATAAAGCAAGTTTCTTTATGTAAAAAAAATACGGGGGGTTTAAAGGTACCCAACCCCGCAACTTTTTTTAAAGGGGTCGCTTTAATTTTTTTTCTCTTGAGAATATTTGGCCTTATCAGTGATCACTGCAACATAAATGGTGTATACTTTCCTATAAATCGCCTTCAGCTACAATAATTATTACAAGCACAAAGGACATTAAACAGATAATAACTAGCATTAATATTGAAAATATACTACAATAAAGTAATTTTGAACTCCTTTTTTTTGCCTTTAAAGCCGCATTTTAAGTTAAGGCTAAGTTCAATTTTGTTTGACATATAATCACGATTTTTTTTTAGGTTAGAAGATTGCATTATCGATTTTTTTCGACATAATAAAAGACGTCACTTTAAATTTCTATCTCTTTATGTCAACAAATTTGTAACACGATGAATTTATAAAACGTATGTCACTAATGAATATGTGGCGGCAACTGACGGCAACACTGTCAGCTACTCCATGGCTCCTAGAGTACATACAGGTCCGGTATAAGCCATGAAAAATAATAATTTAATGTTTTGATCGAGTTATAAAATATCAAAATTAAATGTTTATTTTTAAGTAAACGACATTTTTAAATGTATACGTCTTCAATCAAAAATAATATAGGCTAATACGTGTATTATACGAGTGTACTGGGCAAGAGATAATTTTACCCTTTACTCCAGTTCTTTGTAATGAAACCAGCGGTAAAATAGATATTTGTGTACCAAAGCTGTGTTTTGGCCGAATTAGACATATGCGTTCAAGTCTAAGCTAGTTCTGGTTAAGTATAAGAGTAATAGGCAAGAAACGGGTGTTCAATCAAACTTGACATCGAGATAGATGTCACATAAGCAGGTGTACTAAAGATGAACTTTGCAGGACCAAGCATCAGATAGGTATAACACTTGATATTCTGAAAACTATGTGAATACTACACTGAATGAGAACGAATGGAAGTGTCAGAAGGAGGCTAAAGGCAAAAAATAGACGGAACAGAGCCTAATAGATAGATAAGTAATATTTTAGCCAGGAGAGAGTCGATAAGTGTTATAAATATAGTTATTTATAATAATAATAATAATAATAATAATAATACTCTCCCTAATTCACCCCCTTACGAGTGAATTTCAACCCCTGAAGTCGACTGAACGACTTGTGTAGAGGAAGGGACGGCTATTATTATTATTTGCCGTGGCGCTCCGGGGCGACTTAAAGATGATTGATGGTGCCATTTGACTTACAGGTGAGGAAAACCCGGAAAACCTCACCCACCATCATCATGAATGTATTTTTAATGTATAATTTCAGTTTATTTTCATTTTTGGTATAAAACTATGGCTGACATAATAAAACTCTTAAAAGTATATACATTTTCAATCTTTATTACTATACATTATTTAGTATTCATTTATTCTCTCTGACCTAGGGAAAAGGTCAGAAAACCCTGGTCATAATTGTTTGTCAATGTTGCGTATTCCTAATGATACAAAACATTACAGAGGAATGATACTTAGCCGATGAAATCTCATCGAGTTCACGCATGACATATTGTGGTATGGAATATGGCTATCTCTGATGCATCTGCAGATTTAAATTTATTTTTGCGTACTGTTTTCTATCAACTGATACCCCAAATTTATACAAGCCACGTCTTCGTACCACAATGTGACAGCATCAAATCTGCTTAATCTCGTACCATTTTTTTAAGTATCAAGGATATTCTTGGTGTAGCTGATGACATTTTTTTGCTTATTAAAATAAAAATAATTTTATTGCCAAACAAATTAATCCATTTACAGAACAAAATACATGAAATAAATGTTAAACATAATATTTCGACAGAAAATAATTTTAGCAACAGCAAGAAAAAAAAAAAAAAAATCCTAAATACTTTAGCTATAAATTAGTACAACTAATGGTCGAAATAAATATCCCAATCAGAACAAAATTAATTAAAATTTGAACACATTAGCGTTATAGGTGAATTTCTTCCCAAGTTTGTTCAAATACTTGCTGTATAAAATGTTTTATGATATCTAATGGCTGTTTGGGGAACATTAAAATTTATTTAATTTATCAAAAATAGTACATCAATAGTGTTATGTAATATTTTTTAAAAAAATGTAACACTGGAAACTACCCTTCTATTTTCGAAAGAAGCAGAGATTCTTCAATACCTCGAATGGGATACAGCTCATCTATTTTAAAAGAAAGGTACTTGAGAGATCGCCGCTGAACATTTTCCAATGATCTTTTATGAATATTGTAAATAAGGTTCCAGACAAGAGATGCATATTCTGGCCTGGAACGAACTAAAGAAAAGTAAGGATCTCCAAGCTTTAAGAGTTTGTAAAAGAACGTGTATTACGAATTAAGAACCCTAAGCTTTTCAACGCAGAAGCAACGGTATTTTCAATATAATCTGAAAAAGTAACTTTTTGGTTGAATAATATACCTTAATCTTCAATTTGTGCACAAGTCTGATAAAGATAGGCTGTTAAATAAATAATTAAACTCCACCTTGTTATTACTTCTAGCATAGGAACATACTTTACATTTAGACACATTCATAAACAGCTTGTTTTCATTACACCAATTTTCAACGATTCCCAAGTTGGGTCTGTAAAAAGTAACAGTCTTGAATTGATGAGATTGAGGTAAATATTTTTAAGTCAGCAGCGAACAGCAGGTTAAATTTATTGCCAAGTCATTTATAAATATACCAAATAATAGTGGCCCCAGATTGGAGCTCTGTGGAACTCCAGATGTTGTTGTGAGGGGTGAAGATGAAAATCCGTTGTAAAAGACATAATTAAAACGATGATTCAGGTAAGATGAAAATAATCTCAACAGCGACTGATCAAACCCTAAGCTTTCCAACTTCATTACAAGAATATTATGATTTTTACAAAATACATTATGGACAGGTTGTACAAAAAATATTCTAAACATATTTTAACTAACAAGAGTTTTATTTTTAACTAGTTATATTCAAAAACAAATGTCATTTTTAAAACTATGTTTAACAATAACCGATGAGTATACAACAAGGTTCACAGTTTAAACTGAGTCTACATTTTAACTGCCTATTGTACAACCCGCCATATGTACAATTAAAAATTAATTGTATTTCTTTAAAATGAACTTGATTATGTTGATCAAAACCATTCGATAAAAAAATTAAAAAGTATTTGTATAAAGGTGGTTCTTATATGTATGCTATAAAGCATGCATTGGGGTAGCATGTAGATTATCTAAGTATCAGATCAGAGAGATTAAAATTAAATAACATATGTAGTGGGATTCTCATATTTCAGTACGTCTCCTATCGAGACTCCTATCTTTGTTCGACAGACAGTGATTTTAATGTAATATCTCTCTCTATTCTGTATGTAATGTGTTCGCACAAAAGAATCGCTGTCCTGATCAGAAGAAATTAACCACATCGAAGAAAGAAAATTAGGTCCCCTGTTATTTTTAATTTATATTAATGATTGTTGATGTCGCAATAATTAATATGACATTTACCTGTTTGCCTATGATGTCCTTATTTATGTTTCTTGTAAGTTGTAAGGATTCAGATAACTTAGTAAGAGTTAATTGTCAATTAAACTCTTTGTTAAAGATCAACACAAATACCTAAAACAAAATATAAGCTGATAAGTAATAACTATATGCAGTTTGTGGACAAACAATATAGGAAATTGAAAGAAAATCTATGCAGTTAGTAGAAAAATTCAAATATTTAAGGGTAATTATTCGGAAACTTTCAAATTTTAATTATCCACGTAGGAAGAAAAATTAAAATGCGTCATCGGTAACAAGGGGACTGTTGGGAAGGAAAAGGGGTAATTTCCCTACTGGGAAAGGATTCCGCAATTTTCTTATGAATAAATCATTGAGATAGAATAGAGAGAAGGTGATATGACGATAATAAAAGTGTGTTTGTCGTTTCAAGTTCATTTTATCCCGATGGAATACCTGGGTACTCGAGTAGCGTTCGGTTTGGCCAGGGGCTGGAACGGGACAGAAGCAGAGTTTTTAGGGTGCTTTTAAATGACATTTAAGCGTGTTAAACGGTCACTAATCGGACTAAACCGAACGCTAAAAGGGTCGTTTATAGTTAAAAGAATTAAAGGAGTGAATGGAACTTACCTTCGGTAGAATTTTCTAACAAAAATACGTACACTTTTAAGGTTAGGTTAATAAATTTGCTCCTTTACTACATTCTGGAAAAAATTCCATGTTCAATAAGATCCGAAAACTATAAAAAATCAATTTAAAATTTAGAAATGAATTTGTAAACCACATATATCTTAAATTTGCATTTTATTCCGAGTCTATTATCAAGTAATAAATTAAAGGCACGTTTTAATACAATATCATTGTAAATTAAACGAATAATATTTGCATCCTATAAATATCAAAACTAAATTTATAAATTTATCCTAGAGCACTAATTTCAGTCTTGACAAAAGCATCCATCCTGAGAGTTATCGAGAATCCAGTCTAAGTATCTAGTTATCCTAGTATATACACCAGGATAGCCTGGCCTGGCACAACCATTGCCCCACGAGACGACACCTAAAAATACAAGAATTTATTAAAGGTGTTTAAATAATATTTACAAATACTTCATTTTAAAATTAGAAGCGGGAAAAGAGCAAAAGCGTCGATATGTTCCCAAGGGGATTAAAATAAATAAAACATTATCTTTCTTCTAATTTTGACAAATAAAGTGACATTTTCTGTAATCAAAATGATCCACGTCAAGCAACCAGTTACATAAATTTAAACATTATAAAACTGGTTACGAAAAATTCATTATATCACCAGTTGCAAAAATAAAACAAATAAAAAAACCTTTTTTTAGTTTTAGAATTAATATATTCATTATTATTGAAACTTTATATCAAAGAAGGGAAAAACCTTTTTTTAGTTTTAGAATTAATATATTCATTATTATTGAAACTTTATATCAAAGAAGGGAAGGTTGATTATATAAAAATAGATTTTGGTTAGTGAACATACAACCCAGTAATAATAATGTTTTGATTTTCCATTCTAAATCTGCACAAAATAATCAAAACAAAATGCATGACAAAATAACCCACTTTCTTAAAAACTAAATACCTTTAACGAGCCATAAAACCACACAACAAGTTGTTGAGAATAAATTAACATGATTTTCTATTTGTCAATGAAATGGATCAATACAACTAACAATACAAGAAAGTAATATTGGTTGCATAGATGTTAGTGATATTTTTACCAAAGCCAATTTTATAAATATTCTAGTCAAAATTACAAAAAATATTGTATGTAATACGTTACGAAATGCCGTTATGTGTGTTCATTTTGCGAGATCTCGCTCTGCTCCGTTAGTAATCCTACATTGGTGGATATCTGAGGCCCTGAGAGTTGTAGTGCCTCAGTAGCCATGTGTAGGTTTGGTCCCCTTAGCATGAGCTTACTGATTCTGTGCCCTCTTATCTGTTGCCAGTGAATTTGGTGTTTTGTGTTTATCCACCTGTTCACTGCTTATTGAGCAGAGGTTTTGCTTATCCCAAATACAGGTTCGGGTCCTGTGAATGGTAGATCTAATCTCTCTTTGGCGAGTTCATCAGCCTTTTCATTTCCTTGGCTACCTTTGTGCCCTGGTACCCATGCTAGTTTTACCTTGTTGTGGGTTGTCAGATCATTTGGTATTCCAAGGCAGTTCCAGACAAGCTCTGACTTGATTCTGTTTGAATCAAGAGTCTTTAAGGCTGCTTGGCTATCTGAGAGAATTAGGATGGTTTGTTTTTTGTACTTTCTTCTCAAATCTCTCGTACACACAATTCGATTGCATGTATTTCAGTCTGAAATACAGTGGTATGTTTTCCCAGTGAGACGATGATGTCGCATTTATCTATTTGCTTACTTGCATTTACCTCGTTTCAGTTGCAGTTGACCTGGAAAAGTCTGTTAAAGGTTAGGAGCGGTGTCATGTTGTGATCTGATCTGATCTCATATTTAATATAAAATCATTTACTTCATGTGTTATTCTGGTATGTTTTATATGTCCCAGTGGGTTCCAGTTGTTGGAGATTTCCAGTATGTATGCACTCATTCGGGCCTCCCCCTTTATGACTAGGTCAAGGGGTGGAAGGTTTAGAATGATTTCCATTGAGGCTGTCGGTGTACTTCTCAGTGCTCCTGTAATACAAAAGCATACCAGCCTCTGAACTCCTGAGATGGTATTGAGGGCTGTTTTCTGGTTTACCTTTGGTCACCGAATAACCGCTCCATAAGTTATCATGGGTCTTGTTATTGTCAAATATAACCAGTGGACCATTTTTGGGTTTAATCCTCATGTTTTTCCAAATGCCCGTCTCCCTACAATGAGAGACATTTTACATTTGTTGGTCACTTTTTGTAAGTGTTGGTTCCAAGTATGTTTGCTATCTAGGATTAGACCCACATATTTTACTTGGTTAATTTTGTTTAGCCTTCCTCCAAACGTAGTCGGAGTTTTTAAAACCTCCAACCTTGTTTTCCGGGTAAAGGTTATGAGTTGTACCTTGGTAGGGTTTACCAAGAAGCTTCTCCTAACGCACCACATTTCTGTCAGCCTAAGAGCTCTTTGCATGAGTTCAAAGACTGTGGTGTTTACCTCGGATAAGGATGACCATGTCACCGGCATATCCTTAGGCGTACAGCCCTTGATTGTTCAGTGTTTCCAGCAGTTTATCTGCCACTAGGTTTCATAGTAGAGGAGAAAGAACTCCACCCTGTGGGCATCCCCTGTGGATATTCACCTGCATGGTTTCACTGAACATTTATGCCTCAAGAGAACCAAGCTTTTTAGTTAGTTTAGTAATGTTAGATAAAAGCAGAGTATAGTGCGGTTTAGTGTTATACGTTAACGGTAGTGTAACTAAATAATTAGACTCTATGTATACTAGTGAGTAGATTCTTAGTTTTTGAAGTTTTTCATCCCACGATAAGTTATGTTGGAATAAAATTGTTTATTGATCTTAATGATCAGATTGTAATAATCGCAAATGCTTCTTTACTTGGGGCATTTATTAAAAAAAAGATAATAGTTTAAAAGCTTATTAATATAGAACACAGAGATCATGTTTAATGATGAAAATAGATAATAAGTAAATTAACATTCCTATAACTTACCTATTAACTCATATCTAGAGTCAGGCTTCTTCGTAATCAAAGGTCCGCCACTGTCGCCCTAAAATAAACATAAAATTGTTATCGGAACACTTTTAAAAGTTTAATTAAGTACTAATTTAAATAGACTTTTTATTCTCAATTTTAGATAATGGTTTTTATATAAATTTTAATTTTTTTCATATACGATATCCGTTTTAAATGAAAATTCTAACTTGATTAGGGCAGCTCTTTTTGTAAGATTGTGGTTGTTAGTTGAAATTTAAATTTTAAAACAAAATTGCACACCTGGCACGAATCTTTTTTCCCAACTTGCGGATATCCAGCGCACATCATATTGTCGGAAATCATATTTGCAGAATAATTGGTTTTTCTACATTCTTCATTTGATATAACGGGTACATCGACTTTATTCAAAATACAAGATGGTTTTCCATCTTCTTTGAGTGTTCCCCAACCAGATGCTGTGGCTATAGCACCCACATAAAGATGATCTAAAATAAAATAATAAATATGACATCTATTTCGATTACATCGAGGGCAATATCATAAAAGGTAAGAATTTTTTGGGAACATTCTGTTGTTTATTTGGAAATTATGCGTCTAAATTTGCATAATAATTTTAAAGAAAACAACAAAACGTTGTCGAAAAAAATTCTCCCCTTGCCTGGTATTTAAAAAGATTAATTAACAATACAAACAAAACCTTATTTTTTTAAATCTAACTTGGATTGAGTAAAAACACTGTACCATGAAGTGTTTTCAGATAGTTTATTTTGATTGACGTGTGTTGGAAGAGAAGGATTATATTGGTTAATGTATTATAGTGTTAAATAATCAATATAACATATTTTTTCTACACCCGTATTATAATAATGCACTTATATGCCCATAATCCGTTTCATAATGATACCCATTATGATACAGATTTTTCATTATGATACAGATTTTTAATCAATAGAAACCTACAATTTTTCAATCAAGCATGATGTTTGACGTTTGTCCTAAATTCCTATGTAATTGTTTTAGTTGTCAAAACGTATTAAATTTTCGTAGATAGCTAAACTTCGATAATTATAATATTAAAATGTCTGATATCAGCGATATAGAACACTCCTCCACACATATAGGAGAAAGGAGAAAATGCAGTACAAAATATTTTGCCCCAAAAATCTGTGGTAATACCAGTACCCAAGGTAATACCATTAATTACAATTTTGTAGAATTTTTTATAGAAATACGAGTAATTACTGTTATTGTGTTCAATACCAATATAAATAGAATATTTATAGGTCTTGATTATTTATCGGGTGTAGAAAAAATAGCGTATGCAACTCTCATGTAATGGTTATTAAAACACTCGCATAAACCATACGAAACTCGCCTTTGGCTCGTTTCGTATCCCGGTTAATGCTCGTGTATTAATAACCATCATTACATGATCGTTGCATAATATACTATAATGAATCTAAACAACTAACACCCAGTGACAATGAGACAAGGGCCTTTGTCACATGCTTTGATTACTATACGGTGCAAGAGAGAGGTCCGACACGCCCAACCACATACTTTGATTTTCTTTTACTATACGGAGAATGGTCGCACTGCGCAGCTTTCTGAGTGCCTTTTAAAAGGAGATAGAAAACTCCGCCATTTTGAACCCTTATTACGTGTTGCGTACATCTTGGCGCAATATTTTTAATAGGTGCGTTTTAATCATCCGCTTCTGCTTCGGAATTGTCGGTTTTCTTGTTTTAATCTGACAGGTTAAAACGACTAAACCGACAATTCCGGAAGCAGAAGCGGATGATTAAAACGCACCTGATATTTTGCTTGCTGCTGTCAGTGTCAGTGAATATTATTTTTAGAGTCATAGTTTATTGCTAAAGAATCAGTTAGCTCACTCGGACCAGTTGGAAGTTCCAAAATAACATCCACTCCAGGGATACAAATTCAGGATACGCAGAAGACTGCTGTTTTAATATAGGCGGTTGTCATATATTGTATTATCCGAGTTGCACAGTGTATAAACTGAAACATTGAGATCAAAAGTTCCGACGCAGAGTGAGCGATCTGATTCTTTAGCTGTAAACTGTGTCACAGGGTTCAAAATGGCCGCGCCATATGTTAGGCGTGTCGGACCTCTCTCTTGCCTCGTATAGTAATCAAAGTATGTGCGCCCAACATAGGGCGCGGCCATTTTGATTCCTATGCCACAGTTTATAGCTAAAGAATCAGATCGCTCACTCTGCGGCTGCACTTTTGATCTCAATGTTCCAGTTTATACACTGCGCAACTCGGATAATATAATATATGACAACCGCCTATAATAAAATAACACTCTTCTGCGTATCCTGAATTTGTATCCATAGAGTGAATGTTATTTTGGAACTTTCAACTGGTCCGAGTGAGCTAACTGATTCTTTAGCAATAAACTGTGACTCCAAAAATAATATTCACTAACACTGACAGCAGCAAGCAAAATATCAGGTGCGTTTTAATCATCCGCTTCTGATTCCGGAATTGTCGGTTTAGTCGTTTTAACCTGTCAGATTAAAACAAGAAAACCGACAATTCCGAAGCAGAAGCGGATGATTAAAACGCACCTATTAAAAATATTGCGCCAAGATATAGGCAACACGTAATAAGGGATCAAAATGGCGGAGTTTTCTATCTCCTTTTAAAAGGCACTCAGAAAGCTGCGCAGTGCGACCATTCTCCGTATAGTAAAAGAAAATCAAAGTATGTGTTTTAATCTGACAGGTTTAAATGACTAAACCAACAATTCCGGAAGCAGAAGCGGATGATTAAAACGCACCTGATATTTTGCTTGCTGCTGTCAGTATCAGTGAATATTATTTTTGGAGTCACAGTTTATTGCTAAAGAATCAATTAGCTCACTCGGACCAGTTGAAAGTTCCAAAATAACATCCACTCCAAGGATACAAATTCAGGATACGCAGAAGACTGCTGTTTTATTATAGGCGGTTGTCATATATTGTATTATCCGAGTTGCGCAGTGTATAAACTGGAACATTGAGATCAAAAGTACCGACGCAGAGTGAGCAATCTGATTCTTTAGCTATAAACTGTGACATAGGAATCAAAATGGCCGCGCCCTATGTTGGGCGTGTCGGACCTTTCTCTTGCACCGTATAGTAATCAAAGTATGTGCCTTTTTTAAATATAAGTATTTTATGTTGTTTGGAATGTATGGTTCAAATTACATATGTGTTGCCAAATTTACATTTTTCTCGTTATGGCTATGAATTGAAAAACATATTTTAAAAGGTACACAGTACATATTGTCAGATTGGTAATGACATTTTTTATCCAATGACAGAATGGCCCTCAATAGGTTGTGGTAAAAACTGCGTTTTAGAAATTTGTTTTTTACCTAAAGGATCCATTGTAACTCAACTGTTTTAAGTTATTTGAGGTTATTAAAACTTTATTTTCCTGTCCATGGTCTTCTATATTAACATATTTTTTTGAGAAAAATGAAAAGTTGTCGTTCTATTTTGAACGGTAAATATAGGGTGATCTATTTAAAAATTAAACTTAAACTTAATTGAATTTCTGGTATAACCGAAAACCAACAAATTAAAATCATTTAAATAATACGTAGGTATCCAACTATTTTTTCTTACCTCGTTTCTTTGGCAGACAAATTGGTTTAATAAATTGCGTTATTGGCACTCGGTCATTTAGCCTTAAGAGAGCAATATCGTTATCAAAATTTAAGAAACTAAAAGCGCCTGCAATTGCTCGAAGAACAAATCTCGATTCTGGTCGTTTGTTGTCGTTACACCGGTCATGTTCTCCAAAAGTTACTTTAATCATGAACCACATAAACCTAGAAAGAAATAAAGACGGAATTATTACTTGTAAGTTAAGTATATCTTCTGATATGGGACAAAACATTCTAAGAATAACAATATTACATACATATTACCATTTTAGGTTTCTTGAAGTGGATCAAAATATTCATATTACGCTTTTGATCATCCTTTATAAAACATCATTATCTTCATAGTACAATATATTCATATCTTGTTACTAGTAACCTAGTGACATTAATTCGCTAAATTAGTGATGATGTATTTATGGTTCCACTGACAATTACAGTGACAGTAGGCTTTTTAAATGCGTGTTGTTCTTTTAGATATTATGATGTCTATGGTTTACATAAATTACATTGTTTTTGAACTTTTATAAATTTATATTTAGTAGATAATATGCATCAAGTATTTAATTGTTTAGTTACATTAGTTACATATCTTTAAACTAATTTTTATAACCTGCATACCCAGCTAGCACATAACGTTGCCAGACCTTTCGGCGATGTTGTTTTAAGGGAACGTAATAACATTACTGTAAAACGTAAATGCAACGTTCATGAGAAGTTGTTCAGGGAAATCAAAACCTCGCAAAACTTCTATTTTTTAGTTATCTATTTAACCTACCTGTTATGTTAACACATCGTAATAAAGTAATTTGCTAAAAAAGTATCCACGAAAAGTACTATGAACATCACTTCTGAATTCGGAACGTTTATATTTATGTCAATTGTTACTTTTTCATAAGTCATATTTTTGATGATTGTTTTTTAACTTATTTTATAAATAATTTTTATACATTTGAGTAAAATTGGTAAGGATCCTCTACAAAATAAAAAACTATTTTCTAATCCATTTTCTTCTTCGTTTCAGATTACTATGCCTGGTATAAATTTAATATTTAATTCATTAGGTACCCAATACAAAATGGTTTTACTAATATAAAAACAAAGAATGGTGTAGGTAGATAAACGTCGTAAACGAGAAGATAAACATTTGAGCGAGTTACATTTTACTTCTGGGTAATAATATACTTAATCGAACTAAAAATATATTTTAAAAATATTATATTTTTGGTTTCCTTTGTACCTGATGACATTCTAGGAATTATAGAAGCAAAAGTAATTACTACAGATTTGTCTGAAGAAGAATAAGTAACACCTGAAATTTTATGAAAAGTAAATCAACAGCTAGGTACGTGGTACGTCTATATTAAAAAAAAAAATCAGATTCAAGCAGTTCATTCTCATCAACAGGCTTGCTGTGTCTGGAAATCTAATCATCAGTTCAAGTGCAAACCTAGAAGAAACGTTGAGAGAAATCACAGAATATGCCCACGAGCATACATCAGAATATCTTGCTAAAAAACATGAGTTGTTTTTTATAAAATCTGAATATTTAACTCCATAATCAAGCATAAGATTTGTAAAATTCACAAAAAATGCAATACACTAACTTTGGTTGTTTTATTAAAAACAACAAAGTAAGACAACATTATCTAAAAATAAATGCAATCATTTAAACTTGAGCATATTTTTTAATTTCTATATCATTTCCTTTAATAATAGTTAAACAAGTAGATCAAACTATTTTTTATTCAATATGTTGTGGAAAAGTAAAATCTTTTTATATATATATATATTTATGTTACATTATAGCATAAATAAAAATATATACAAAAAAAAGTTAAAAGGCTTGATTTAAAAAAGATGTTATATCTGCGTCAACAGGTAAGAAATCAGAGAACTCTGCAAAAATTTAAGAAAAGAAGTCAAAAGTCTTACCAGTTGAAAACTCCGTCTCTAGTGAGCCTAAACAATTTTGGAAATATATTCAAACTAAAAAAGGTAAATCTAGAATACCGGGAATTCTGTTCAACGAAGGAGTTTCTTACGACACTCCTCAAAATATAGTAGATAGATTTACTGAGTACTTTAGTAGTGTGTTTTTATCAGTATCTGATACAATCCTAACAGAGAACTTAAATAATCTTTCAAGTATAAATATCGAAAGTTTAAGTGACCAAGATAATATTACTGCAATCAATTAACTAGCCGCTAAAATTACCTCCAGTGAGGATGGTATACCCAGTTTTTTAATTAAAGATTGTAGAAAGTCAGGAGATCCATCTCTATTTAATAATAATTATCGCCCTATTTCAGTTTTAAACAATTTTGCTAAGATTTTCGAAATTTGCATTTATAATAAATTTTACCCTCTAATTAAATGTTTATTATCGGTACATCAGCATGGTTTTATGGAAAATCGTTCCACTGTTTCTAATTTATCATCTTTTTCTCAGTTTTTACATGAGACTTTAGATAATTGTGGTCAAGTAGAAAAAGTTCGAAAAAGCTTTTTATAAAATCGACCCAAAAGTAATCGTTTACAAGTTGGTTAATTTGGAATTTCCTCAGCAATGAATACATTTTTCATCTCTTACTTATCTTGTCGACAACAATTTGTTTCTTATATTGGATTTTCATCAAATTTACTCTATGCTACCTCAGGAGTTCCTCAAGGGTCCAATCTCAATTTATAATTTTAATTTTTACTTTAGGCTTTATATTCATTTTGTTTTATTACTATTTATTACTATCTTAGTACTTATCTCTGAATTGTGATATATTTTTTGTTTGAAAAACTTGCAAATGTTTTGCACAGAGTCAATTCAATTTATAATTTTTATTTTTATTTTTTTTTAGCTTTATATATATTTTAATATTATTATTTATTACTCTTAGTACTTATCAATATTTACTCTTAAAAATCTATTATTGGTATATTTTGCCCTATCTTTGGATGTTATATCTGTTGGGCAATAAAGAATTTATTTATTTTGTATATTATACAGGGTGTCCCGAAATTAGACGGTCATATTTTAATAGCGTAATCTACATCCTAAAATAGGAATAAAAGTTTCGTTTTCGAGATACAGGGTGTTACAAGTGAAGTCCTGATGACACATTTTTGTAATAATAGCCCAAGAGCCCACTGCAAATTTTTACCACCATCTGATAATGAAATAAAATATACTCCAAAAGCTTGTAAAAACATTGTACTTTACCCTAATGGCACCTGTGCCAATCCCAATCCTGAGCAAAGTGGTTAAAAAAAAAAATTTATATTAAAAAAATCACATAAGGCATGACAGCGCTAATTTTGTTTGCCCTTAAAGTTTTCTAGATAATAACATATTCAAATATATCTTGATATAATATATCGTTAACGGGAAACATTTTCCTCCTCTTAACATCGCACAAAAACATCTAAACACGATTAATAGGTAAAAATCATTAAAAAAATGAATTAAATTTTAGCTGATTTAAAAATTTATTTGAATGCCTATTGTTGCGATTAATTTTTACAGATTGCCATAGAAACGACAAAAAAACTACTATGATTATGGTTTAAAAGAATTGTCTAACAAGAGTTTATAATTATTATTGACTATTTCTGCAAAAGGTAGGTAAAAATATTAATAATTCAGGTTTAAAAGCTAGGTTCACAATGAATAGGGATTGTAATTTTCAGGGAAAACACAATTATCGCTGTCATGTCTTATGTGATTTTTTGAATATAAAATAATTTTTTTAACCACTTTGCTCAGGATTAGAGATTGGCACAGATGCAATTTAGTAAAGTACAATGTTGTTACATGTTTTTGGAGCATATTTCATTTTGTTATCAGAAGGCGGTCGTAATCTGCAGTGGGCTCTCTTACTATAACCAATTAGGCATTCCAACGACTTGTCAAACAATAGCTGTCAGTGAGAAAGTCTGGTATATCTAAGGGGGCAGAGACATAGTCTTGCATCTTGAACGCTTTTTTTATTCGAAATAATAGTCACCGAGTCTGCCAATTTATAAAAATATAAATAAAAGAGGTAGTTTTTGCAGGGGCGGCTCAAGCACAGCTCTAGGCACACCACTGATTTTTATATGCGTTTTTTGTACAATTACTCTTGACCTACTCTTAGTTTTGTTGATATGTTAAGTCCAGGACGGACGAATTACTTTAGAAATTCAGTTAAAAAATTGTAAATAGCTCGTTAACTAAGAAAGATACAGAGTTCATTTTGCTATTAAAAAAAATTTTAAATTCATAGTTCTTTTTGATTTTAGGATCGATAAAGCAAAAAAAATACGGGGGGGTTAAAAGGTACCCAACCCCCTACTTTTTTAAAGGGGGTCGCTTTAATTTTTTTTCCCTTAGAATATTGGACCTTCAAATCTACAGCACCGGCAAAAATTTCGAAGAAAAAATCGCAACAGCAAACTTTTTACAAAAAAAAAAACGTTTTTCTGAATGTTAGTTTAACACCCTGTAACTTTGTTGGGAGCCATATAGGTAAATATAGCCAAATCCACCTATTTTTTGATAAACTATCTGAGGATGAATTTATGACATACCTTTTTGAAACACCCTGTAGTATATCCACGGATTAACTTAATTATACTTGTAAAAATATTTATTTAAATAAGAAAAAAGTTATTTTTACTTTATAATTTTCAGAGCAACTTTTAGGGTAAGTACCGTAAAAGTGCTAGTGTGATGTTTTCCGAACTTCACTTTGTAACTTCTGTGAGATGTGATATAAAAGTCTTGCCGTTGCGGATATTCGGCGGTTGCAGGGATATTAGGGTTACATTAAAAGTACATTGCATGCGATCTTAAAGAGCCTAAAATTGCAGCTTATTAAAGTAGATGGGATGTTTTTGTGCTAGCTGGGTACAATATTAAGAAAAAGCCTAAAAACAGTAAAATGTATATGTCAAATTTAATTATGTTTCTGTTAAAAATATTGTTAGGATTTAACTGTCAGGGAAACTATTATTGCGTCACACTAATATGGTGTATTCATTTATAAGAAATTATTATGTCGAGTCAAAAAATACACAATATATCGGTTATGATCCTAAAACAATAAACAAACTTTTGTTAACATATTTCTCTTCTCGGATGGTTGTTCAAATTTTGAATTTTTTAGTTATACATACCAGAACTGATAAAAAG